AGGTAGCGGCCAGTCAGCCAGCCTAATGGATTCCCTCGCCCCGCGTACAAGTTGTCGGCGGCAAGGCCAACCAGGCTCACCGTCAGCTGCTCTCCGGCTTGGCCGGCAGGCCAAGCATTTGACGCACCGATTCTGCCTTGTCTGAGCGGCCCAGGCAAGCAAAGCTCTTCTTCCTTGCCTTGCCCACCTGCAACAGCAGGGCAGCATCGGCAACACAGCACTGAGAGGCTTGGCAACCAACCCTTGCGGCCCTACCAATCCCCCCAGCCAACCGCGCCGCGCATGCAACCCCGCACCTGCCGTGCCTCCAGGCACTGGTCCACCAGCTTGGCCGCCTGGATGGGGGTGCACTGCTCCCTCTTCGCCACCTCCTCCACTAGCTGCATCGCCCTCACAAACTGGTGCCAGGTCCTGCGTCGGCCTGACCGCCATGACTGTTGCGGGCCCAGCTCGCCGCGCTGGCTGGCCTGCTCCTGCTCTTCCTCCCTGTCCTTCCACGCCGGGTAGCCGTTGTGGCCCTCATAGTACAGGGTGGCGGCCTGCATGCAAGGTTCAAAGAAGGGAAGAGTTGCTCACAGGGCAGGTGCGGCAGCGCCAACGGCATCGGCTGCCGCAGCGCAGCGGCAGCAGGGCGGGCGGCACAGGCTTACCCATGTGGCGCTCGGCACCAAGCTCAGGCCGTTGCGGGGCAGGTTGCAGTCGAGGCCAGCCCACCTGCTGACAAACGAGCCCCTTGCTGAGGCGCTTGCCGCTGCCGCAGGTGCCGCTGCCGCAGTTGCGTAGCCCGCTGCGCTGCGTGCTCGTGCCATTGTGCCTGTGCCAGAACTGGCAGAGGTGGCGTACCCGAGTGTGAACACGCCCTTGCTGCCTGCGCTCAGGCTCACGCTGTCGTCCTGCTGCGCTGCCGCCGCGGCGCGGTGCAAGGCGGGGGGGCCGCTCACGCACACCTCTGCCGTCAGCAACAACAGCTGTCGCTGCAGGCTTTGCTGCTGCGCCATCAGCTGCTGCAGCAACGCGACGGGCACTTCAACCGTGTTGTCGCCTGGCTGATCTGCCACTGCCACTGCTGCTGCCGCTGCTGCCTCCACCGGCGTCATGCCTGCCGCCGCTGCGGGCGTGGGCATGAGCACAGCCGCTGCTGCCGCCACCGGCGTCATGCCTGCCGCCGCTGCTGGCGTGGGCATGAGCACAGCCGCTGCTGCCGCCACCGGCGTCATGCCTGCCGCCGCTGCTGGCGTGGGCATGACCGCTGCCGCCCCTGCCGCCGGTGCGGGCGTGCATCCTGCTGCTGTGCCGGCGGCCTCCTGCTGCTCCTGCCGCTGGGCCTCTGCAGCATGGAGGAGGCAAAGAAGGGGGGGCCGGGGATGGAACTGAGGAGGGCAGGCTGACCGTGGGAGGGATGCACCCGCCCGCAGCGCTAGCGGCAGCGCCACATCTCACCCTCCATGCTGAGGGCAACCAGGGCAAGCTGGTCCAGGTCCACCTCGCTAGCCGTCTGCTCCTCCCGGTCCAGTTGCTGGACATCCGCCCAGGCGTCGCCGCGTTGCGCCGCTGCTATGCCGCGGCGCGCTGCAGCCTGCCACGCGCCGAGCCGGGCAGCGCGCTGCCGCATCACCTCATCATCGGGCAGCCGGTCCTCGCACAACACTGTTGCGGTGGCTTGCAGGCTCTTCCCCACCTCAGCGGGGAGCTGGCCGCCGGTCAGGCTGGCTAGCATGGCGCGAGTCTGCGCTCCCAGCCCCTTGGAGATTCTGTCAAGCTTGTCGTCCTGGCTGGGCGTGCGCTGCGCCGCGTACACCTGCATGAGGATGGGCAGGCATGCAGGATGGGCAAGCATGCAGGATGGGCAAGCAGGTTGTTTGCACGCCTGGGCGGTCTTGTCTCCACGCACCCACAATGCAGGGCAATGCACAATCTGACCAGAGCGCACCCCCTTCATTTGCTTCAGCGAGAACTCGTTCAGCAACGCCTTGAAGCGTGGCTTCTGCATGAGCCACGCAAACACTGGGTGCTCTGGGTAGCGCGGGGCCAGCACCAGAGCGCTCTGCAAGCATTGCGAGGCAGGGGTTGGTGAGGGGTTTGGTGGTGCCGGGTTGTGCGGGCCAAGCAGGTGGCGCCATCTGCCTGCCTCGCTCCACCTGCCTGCAAATTCAATGGCTGCCTGCAAATCCACCTGAATCAGAGTGATGCGCAAGGCCTGCAGGCGGATGGCCAGGTTGGCTGCGGACTTGGGCACTGGCTGGTGCGCCGCCACCAGCTACCGGGCCACAGCAAGAGCGGA